AGACAGACAGTTCCTGAGTTTTAAGAAGATACAGACAAAGTAAAATGCTTACATTCCACGTTCAGGTGGATCGTGTTAGAGCTGCTGTTACCCAATGGGTTTGTCACTGTGCAGTAGAAACTGGCATCATTCCCACGTGTCACTGGAGTGAAGGAGAGAATCCGGCTGCTTGTGTTTAACTGGGTGCTCGTGTTTCCCTCGATCCTGAACCAAGAGTAATGAGATATCGGTGGGACACCTTCACTGGAGCAGGTTAATGTGATGTTGTGTCCTTCTCTGATCCCACCTGAGGATCCACTGATGGACGCTGTGGTCTGCCGTGGGGGATCTGGAACAAGAGCAGAGGAGAATCAGCAGGTAATCCCTGTGGCCTGTAACCCTCTGAGATCTCTACACTTCTCCAGTTGCAGCCTCTTGAGTACTTCCTGATATCCATCCCTTGACCTTCAACTACCTGGAGCCCTAAGCTCTGGAATTTCCTTCCTCATTTTTCACCTCCTTCAGACAAAACATGATCCTGACCCACATAAGGAGATCTTCAGTCACTGACCAAAAGCACGGTCAAAGTGGTTTAACTTAAAAAGCCTCTGAAAAGAGTGTTAAAGTGTTTGTATCTGTGTTTACACAAATCCACATGCCTGTCACTGTAAAGCTGACAGGCTCTTGGGGATATTAATTTGTATGCAGAGATGTGGCTGTGGAATCTCTTGTGTGCAGATGATATCACACACCGAGCCAGAACAAAAGAGGAACTGGAGAGTATGATGCTCCCAGACAAAATACACAGGGAGACATTTGGATTGAACGTGAATGAGGCAATGACCAACAAAATGGCTCTAGAAGGTAACGAGGATATCAAGATTGGGTGCACCGAGGGAGGGAGAGTAGACAAATTCCTATTATAATGCTTAATGATAAGTATCAAAGTTACATCCAGGACTGAAATGTGGCTTAGAAAAATAACAGCAAGCACCATAATCAGTGACTTTAGTCTCTGAAATTATCACCATGAAGCTGAGAAAACATCGGGTGCAGTCATTACTGCGGCGTGTTGTACTCGATGGATGTGAGAGTCAGATGCTGAAGAAATTAGATGAGAGGAGGGTAACAGCTTTTGAAATGAATGTATGGCAGAGGATTCTCAGATTCAGCTGGTGGAGACCAAGTCGTGGCTTGGAGAAAGATTAGAAGATCAGGAGCCAAAAGTGGTGTTATGTCCCGTTAGAGTGAGATGGACCAATCAGTTCAGACATAGAAATGGAGAACTGTCTTTGTCTCAGCAACAATTGTTGGAGAGTGTCAGATGGTGGATAACAGTGGAGGCGTGGAATAAGGAAGTGTTGAAATCCAGAGAGGAAACAAGACAGTGCCAGCAGCTCCTCTAAACATATTGTAACAACGAACAAATGTAACAGGTGTCTCACATTGCACAGTGATGGTTATGGAGCCCTCCACTGCTCCGTGGTCATTCTCTGCCACACACTGATAGTCTCCAGTCTCTCTGGATGTAACGTGAGGAATCTCCAACCACAGCTCATTGTTGGAACTTGTTCTGTTCATTGTGGCATTAAGATGTCTCCACATCAGGTTAGAAGCTGGGAAACTCTCAACAGAGCAGATTATCACTGCAGCTTTCCCCTCAGTAATATTGATTGATGAATCTTTAATCTCAAAAGAAGTAATTGACAGATTCCGTGGTGCATCTAAAAACAAATAAAGATTAGTTAACAAACGTTGGCTGTGAAACATTTTGAAAGACCCTGAGAATATGAAAGATGTGAAATCTATGGGTTCCTTTGACACAAAGTATACGAACCCGGCAAACATTACAGTTTAGTACCAGAGGGTACAGCAAACTAATTGGGCTAATAACGATGGTGTGCAACACTTGGGTCAGTACTGGGGGAAGAAGCACTGTCTGTGGATCAGAATTGAGGCAAGTCAGCACTATCTGTGGGTCAGTACTAAGGAAAGGTAGCACTGTCTGTGGGTACATCTGGTTGTCAGTGCTCCCCAGGGTCCTACAGTTCACTGTGTATTCCCTTGACATTTTTATTGTGCTCAAACACATTACCTCACATTTATCTGTGTTGAATTCTATTTGCCACCGATCAGCCTGTCTATATCATTCTGTAATCTAAAGCTATCCTCCTCACTATTTATCAGCTCACTGATTTTTGTATCATCCACAACCTGATCTGACTGATCAACCCTCCTACATTCATTTCTCAATCTTTTATATGTACATCGATCAGTGAGACGCCCAAAAGTGATCCCTGTAGAATCCACTAGACACAAGTTTCCGGCCACAAAAACACCTTTTGAAAATCACCCTCTGCTTCCTGCCACTTGTCCAGTTCTGGATCCAATTTGCCAACTTTCCTTGGATTCTTACTCCTATCAGTCTCTTAAGTGGGATCTTATCAAAAGCCTTGCTAAAGTCCAAGCAGACAATGTCAAATGCATTGCCCTTCATTCCTGAACAATGGTACAACATTGGATGTCCACCAATCCTCTGGCACCTCTCCTGTTGCCACAGAAAAATTGAACATATTTGCCAGTACCCCTGCTATTCCTTCCTTGCCTCACTGAACAGCCTGAGATACACTTCATCTGGTCCTGGAGTTTTAGGCCTGGCAGACCATCAGAACTTTGTCTCTGTTGATGCTGATTTTTTTTAACTCCTCCTCCCTGATTTCTATAACCACATTGTCCATTACACGAGTGAACACCGGCACAAAAGGTTAATTCAGAACCCGACCTATGTCCTCCAAGTCCACATACAAACTAACACTGTGGTTCTTAATGGGCCCAACTCTTGCCCAAATTATTCCTGAATCCTTGTAAAAGAAGTTGGGATGTTCCTGCATTTTATCTGCCATTACCCTTTCATGCCCCCATTCTGCTCTCCTAATCGTTTTCTCAATATCTTTCTTACATATTTTATATTCCTCTAGACCTTTTGTTTAAGCCTGCTTAAAATTCCCCTTTTCTCTTTATCCAGCTTTGTATATCCCTTAATGTCCAGGGTTCACAGGATTTGTTGGTCCCACCTTTTATCTTTCTTGGAAATTGTGTGCCTGTACTCTCTCTAATTCCTTTTTGAATGTTTCCCACTTTTCTGACACAGAATTACTGAAAATCATGTCTCCGAGTCCACTCTGGCCAAGTCATATCTGATCTTATTAAAATCAGCCTTTCCCAGGTTTAGAACTTCGATTTCAGGCCCATCCTTATCCCTTTCCATGATGAGCTCGAGTCTAACAGAATTACAATTGCTGTCTACAAAATGCTCCCCTGCAGATATTGCAAACACCTGTTCTGCTTCATTGCTCAAAATTAAGTCCAGGACCATCACCTCTCCTTTAGGGCCTTCACTGTAGTGGCTTTAAAAGCTGTGCTGGATGTATCCTAAGAATTCTGTTCACTCTAAGCCTTCCATACTATGATCATTTTAGTAATTTTGGGAAGGACAATATCTCCCACTGTTACTATCCTATTCCTTTTACGCTTTCTGAAATTTGCCTACATACCTGCTCTTCTCTTTCTCTCTGACAGTTTGGGAGTCCATAGTGTACACTCAATGGTGTGATTGCTCCATTTTGGTGTCTAAGTTTTACTTAATGGCTTCACTTGAGAAGCCTACCTACAGTCAACCTTCCTTACAGCTGATCAGTTTTGCAACATCTCCTCCTCTTTTACCTCCTCCCCTGTTCTAGCTGAAGATCCTGTATTCTGCAATATTGAGTTGCCAATCCTGTCCCTCTCTCAACCATGTCTCAGCGACAGCAAAGGCAATATACTTATATTTTAATGGCCCTCGCCCATTGTTTGTTCGACTCTTTGCATTAAAGTAAATAACATTCAACATTGCCAATCTCCATGAGCCATAACTGGGCCATACTTCCTGTCTGCTCCTGACTCTCCCGCTGTCTATTCTAGTTCTGGATGCGCATCTCCCCTTGCTGAACCATCCCTCAGGATCTCAAGCCGCTGCCAAGTTAGTTTAAACCTTGCTTAGTAGGACCAGCAAACCTCCCCATAAGGATGCAGGTCCCATTCCGGTTCATGTGCAACCTGTCTGCCTTGTACAGGTCCCACCAGCCCCAAAGAGTCCCAGTGTCCCAGAAATCTAAAGCTCTCCCACCTGCAACATCTCTCCAGCCACATATTAACCTGGATGAACAACCTATTTCTATACTCACTAGGATGTGGCAGTAGAAGTAATCCATGGATTATGAATTGTGAAATCCTTTGTTTCCAGTCTGTATCCTAATACCCCCAAATTCAGCTTGCAGCAACTCACCCCTTTTTGTCCTGATGTTGTTGGCATCAATATCTTCCACAATCTCTGTCTATTGCCCTCCGATGTAGATGTTGAATGCTGAGTACACTTTCATTGCCCAGTGATGGTTATGGACCCCTCCACTACTGCATGGTCATTCTCTGCCACACACCGATAGTCTCTCTGTTACATCCAGTTACTCTGGATGTAATGTGAGGAATCTTCAAGCACAGCTCATTATTGGAATTGAGCATGTTCTTTTCTCTCTCTCTCTCTCTCACACACGCACATTCTCACTCACCCTCTTTGTTTCTGTCTCTTTCCTTTTTTCATTCTATCGAACTGTCTAATGGACTCAAGCTCAAACTGACTCTGAATCCTTGGGTTAAACTCAGTGATAATTTGAAAACTTGGCAACAAGCGGCATGCTTGTACTAAGGCATGTTTGACAGCAGAAATCAACACAATGTCATGATCCCTGAAAGTTAATATATTGTCTGATTGTTGTTGTAGACAGGACAAAAGGTCCAGCTAAAAAAAAAAGTCCTGGGACAGATCTGTGCAGATGCTGTTTGTTGAATGGGTGTCTGGAATTTGCATCATCAATTTCCTTCAACACAGTCTGAACGCGTGTGTGTGTGTGTGTGTGTGTGTGTGTGTGTGTGTGTGTGTGT